ACACACACACACACACACACACACACACACACACACACACACACACACACACACACACCTCTCTCTCTCTCTCTCTCTCTCATGCATACACACACGTACACATTTCCTCTCTCTCTCTCACGCACACACACACATACTCGGCAATCAGCAGAGCGTCCCGTTGCGCAATCATGCTTGTACGTGTCACAAGATCACTGTGTGAGATAGATGTCCGGACGCGTAGCCACGGCCTTTTAATTTTATACTTCAATCCACAGTGTCAGTGTTGATATTGCTACTAACTATTTGACCAGCACTTTCTCTCTGTCTTTGATCATATAGTACTGCCTTGGACATTGAAGACAAATCTTTATGAGGTTGCGGGTTGCTGATATTTGGTAGTTTGCATGGCCACAGCCACAGGCTCTTGGCTGGACTTCAGTTGTTTGGGAGAATTATAGAATTGAGAGTAAATAGAAACATAATGTCATTGATGTGTGTAAAGGCAAGCGTGTGTGCGTTTTCATGCTCGTGAGGTATGTTCAAGTTTTCATTTAAACTTCAACAGGGTTAGTTGGTTTGCTGAAACGAGGCTGGAATGAAATACCAGAGGTAGTTGCAACTACAGGAGCAGCATTTCTCGGTAGGAAATCAATTTGTGTTCTTAATCAGTGATTGGCAATATTCAATATGGTGTGCTTGGGCTGTGGTTTTAATGAACACAAGATGTCATTGTTGTTTTTGTATGCTTTGCCAGACATTTTGAAATGTAGTTACATTACTACTTACACTACGTCATGTTTAGTAGAATGATAGTCATTCAATATGATTTATATGTAATAAAGTGTCCTTTTTGTCGATATATAGCTATTTTGGTTACTGCCCCGGTGCTGTACAAAAGGGAAGTAATTGACGGTGGTGAGAAACAGCCACACCGGATTCGTTACACAGGTAATAAACATAACTCAAAGATCGGGAAATTCGTCTATTTAAAAAAAGGAGAGTGTTACTGTTAAGAAAGTTCAACGATAGTTACCTTTGATTGATTGGCGATTGAGTGTGGGGTTTGGCAGGCAAATTTTGCAATAGACACATTTCTTCAAGCTTTTGGCATGGGAAAGTCTACATTGTTTTTTTTTCTCTACAGCTTGTATGCAAAAAGAATTTTGGATATTTGATCTTATTGACAATCTTACATATTTGATTGTATCAGGGGTAGATAATGACAATTTGTCATTATCTGGCCCTGATTGTATGTGTACTCTCATTTCTTTTTCACTCAAGTTATCCTTTTTATGTCCCCGTGTACAAGCGCAACACTGCATAGCATCTTCACAGAGATTCGCTCTGTCTTGTCTGCATGAACCTCGTCTTGCTCTATTTACATGCTAATAACGTTAATCTCAGTTAGATCCATAGTCAGTACAAAATAACTTACTCTGACGAAATTTTCGTCCATCTCTCCGACAGACTTCCTCAGGTCTAACACTTCACCTAGACCTGAGGAAGTGTGTCGAAGAGATGGACGAAAATTTCGTCAGAGTAAGTTATTTTGTACTGACTATGGATCTAACTGAGATTAACGT